CCTAAAATGTAAGAACTCTCTTCTTCTCTTTTGAGATTAAAAAGGTTTATAGGTCACAGATTATCATCTGATGAAGACATATGCATGTCTTCGATGGATAATCTCGCCATCCGAAACTTGAGTTGAGTATAAAGGGAAAAATATGAAATCGAACACTTTAAAGGGGATTAGATGACTTTAGGAGCATACCTTTTTGAAGATGAGGCAGAAAAGAATGAATCGAGCACAGCAGCAATCCTAAACTTGCAGGGGGAAGAGTTCGGCTTGAAGGTGACGAACTATTTAGAGAAGGAGAACGAGAAAAGGCTAGAGCTTTTTGAATAAAGAAGAGATTTTAAAAGAGGAAGGGGGTATATATATAGGACTTCTAGAAGAGAAGTGGGCTGGCCTCTAAAAGCCCAAGCCCAAGGAATTGGAAATTTTCCTTAAATTAAGGCCCAAAAATCTAAAATAACCAAAATGTCCAAGAATGGAACAAGACTAGCAGTCACACAGAATGATCAGATTGGGCAACCAAAGCCTCATAAAGATGACAATAGAGCCTCTGCGAAGAAAGGACGCCAGAGCTTATGTGAAGAGACTCAGAGCTTCTGCAAAGAGATTCCAGAGCCTCTGTGAAGAGACAGAGAGTCTCAGTGAAAAGATACAGAGTCTTTAAGAGTTGCTGGAGTCTCTGTGAAAGGACAGAGTCTCCGAGAAGAGGAAACAGAGTCTCTATAGATATCATCAGAGCCTCTGTGGTTAAGCTAGAGCCTCTGTAGCTATCATCAGAGCCTCTGTGGCTAACGCCAGAGCCTCTGTAGCTATCATCAGAGTTCTATGGCTAACGCCAGAGCCTCTGATCGAATAGGTGACCTCTTCAAGATCATACTCTGAATAAGGTTAATCCTAAAAGACTTAGTTTTCTAATGAAGATTCCGAAATGAGGTCCTAACCTGGAAATCCAAAAGTGCAGAGTTGTTACAGCCTCCCCAACTCCGAAAAATTTCGTACCGAAATTTAATCGTTTGCGCTTCAATTCATGATTGACTTGAGAAGAGGTGGGGATACTTGTTCTTCATGAAGTCTTCTCTTTCCCACGTATACTACGGTCCATTCTTGGAACTCCAATGAACCTTCATGATGGGTATTCGACTATGTCTCAGTTGCTTAACTTTTCTATCCAGAATCTCCAAGGGTTTTTCAACAAAATGAAGTTGATCAAAAACTTGCAAGTCTTCCAAGGGTAAAACCTGGGTTTCATCTGATAGGCATYTCTTAAGATTCGATATGTGGAATGTATCGTGGATAGCATTTAACTCTTGAGGCAGATTTAACTTATACGCTACTGGTCCTATTCTTTCTATTATTTCAAAAGGACCAATATAGAGAGGGCCCAACTTGCCTTTCTTTCCAAAGCTCATAACTCCTTTCCAAGGCGAGACCTTTAGAAAAACTTTATCACCTTTCTGAAATTCTAAAGGCTTCCTCTGATTGTCAGCATAGCTTTTCTGTCGATCCCTAGCAGCCTTGAGTC